ATTTGCCAGGTTATAAATGGTAGTAAGAGACACATCCAGTGCGCTCCTCAAATGTACGTTATTTTGTCATTGTCCATTGCATTAGTGTGATAAATGAAAACTCTGAGTGCTTTGTACATCGCATGGCGTTTTATTTAAGTGTAATAACCGTTGTTTGTAGCCTTTGTACTTTACAAGCCTTTGTTCCTTGTAATCTTAGCAAGATATAATTGTAATTTAATTCTAAATTACCTTAAAATTACCAGAATCTTATTAATCTTACTAATATTATAAATTCGAAAGTTTAGATGGGTGGATGGATGGATGGTTTTTGGAGGTATCTCCAGAAAGACTATAAATGTCGGTGTACATATAGATCATATAGGTATAGAAATCTGAAAGAACACATAGGCTACTAAGTTTGTTCATACCCCTCGGTCGGAGTCGCGGGCGACAACTAGTATTAAAATAATTTCTTTATTAGTCTCTAATTCCCGATGATAATGGCATCTATCGAGTTCTATTATAAATTTGTTCAGCTGGTTGAAGACAAAAATACCCTTTGCCTTTTGCAATTAAAAAGAAAAAGATGAATCTTTTAAAAGAAATAAAAGTGAATCACAATTGACCAGATGCTCTTGTTACATGATTCATTTAGTCTTATCAGCACATCTGTTCTCTTTAAATAAAAGAACAGAGAGGAACAAATATTGAAACAATAAGAATTGTTTGAAAGTTTTTAGTGTTTTCCTTTTTATATGGCGGTTGCAGGCGGTGTATCGCAGACAATGCATTGAATTTACCGCGTACAGGCGCCGAAAAATAAAGTTTTCCAGACAGTCTGTTACACTACACTTTTTATAGTAAAAGACTATTTTAAATGTGTAGTTAACTTATTAATTAAGTTAATTTAAGTTTAATAATTGAATTATTCAATGTTTTAAGTTAGACATCTTGTGATTTAGATATAAAGTGAAATTACAAGTAAGAAATATAGAATTGTTGTTTTACGTATTATTAATCTAATTGTATTTAATAATACTATTATTACAGAATGTTTGCGCGAGGAATCCTCATGTGGTTACTGCCTACTTGCTCGCTAGCTTTACGAACCAGTACATTTTCCGGGACAATGGTTGATTTCACAGACCCTAAGGTAACTTTACAATATTATACAGTAACATAGTCATAAGAAAAAATTATGAAATTCTTCTTAACAATTATCATTAATAACATGTTACGGGGTAATAACATTGATGACGTTGTTAACACTTGTTAACGCGTTTAAGTTACAAGTTAACAGTTTTAACAGCCCACTTTAACATCTTCGCACGCATTGGCCCCGCTCGCCCTGTGAAATACCACGACCACATAGAAGACAGGCGTGAAGTGGAAGCAATTCCGCGTGCAGTCTGATGAGTGTGCGTCTCGTAGGCCTAATTTAGTCCCCTTTCCCTTCCCACCTTTTTTCTTATAAGGAAAGGATGGGAAGTGGAAGTGGACTTTCCGGATGAGAGGATGCATTATTTTCTTTCTGTGCATCCTCTACTCCGATTAAACGTAGGCAACGCATATGCGATTGCGTACGTCTATGGGCAACGATCACTTCGCTATTTCAGCGATTCAAGGTGGCCGCTCGCTCGTTTGCCACCTTATGATATAAAAAAAAAGTTAACACTAATTGCCGCACTCAGGTTAACCAAATTTTTATTGAGAGAGACCCTTAGTATAGATGTAATACAAAAAATCTGCACTAAGACTCACATTTCTCAGTAATTAACCTAACTGATTAACGCGATAGTAGTGACAAACCTGTTTTATTATTTCCAGGTTCAAGGACATTTAGATGCGTTAGTTCGAATGGCACAAGCCTGCGTAATAAAAGTCAGGGCATCACCTAAAGATGTAAGAGCGTACTTTACCAACTCACCACCGATCACCAGATCTGGTCAATGCTTCGCTGCGTGCATGCTTGAACAGAGCGATGTTATTAACCATGGCAAAGTAAGTCGCACCTTTATTCTCTTTACATATATTATAAATGCAAATGTTTGGATGGATGTTTATTAAAAAGTATCTCCAGAACAGCTTAATGGTTTAATAGATTTAGAACATAGTTTGGATGAACACGTAGGGTACTAATTACGGTTTCTTAAAACCACGCGGACGGAGTCCCGGGCGACAGCTAGTTACTTATATATTTAATTCTTGCCAAGTTATATATGATTTGGTGTGTTTCTTTACAAACGTAACAAACATTTGAACGAATTAATTAATCAAATGAAGACATTAATCAACCTTCCCCCCACCCCCCTCCACTTCCCTATTTACTGTTTTCACGTTCAATACATATGTTGCACACCGCACGTCGTGTATTAGCAACGGATTATTAAATCCAACATTGTTATGTTCAATAATCCGGAGAATAAAGCGCACGTTTATTTACTGCACGTGACTAACAATTATGGGATTAAATCTAATAATAATCCCTAAATTAGTTTTAAAAGGTTTATTAATATCACTAGCGACCGCCTGCGACTCCGTCTGCGCGGAACTAAAAAAAAGCATAATTAGTTGCCTATATACTCTTCCAGGCTATATTCTACATCTATGCCTAATTTCAGTCAGATCGATGCAGCCTTTCCGGAGATATTTTCCAACAAACTTCCATCATCCATCCATCTAAACATTTGTATTTATAAAATTAGTAAGATTAATGTCAAAAGCTCTACCCACTTAGGACTAGATGTTTAAAAAACTGCTCGGAATAATAAAGACCAAAGCAATGAGATGTAAAAACTCAATTAACCTCTATCTACCTTTTCCAGTAACATACTAATTTAGATTTGACCGATTCGCCCTTCATTTGTTTTTTAACAATTTCGTACGCATTAGTGCAAAAAGGTACAAACATAGCAATAACGCAACTTGTCTAGCTAGTGGAATAATCGCAATGACAAAATTTTTACTAACTACTAGCTGTCACCCGCGACTCTGTCCGCGCGTAATTACATAAAAAACCAAATTTTTAGCCTAAATGTTCTTCCAGCCATTTATATGGGAAAAAGAAACGGGTAGTTTTTAGGGTTTCCCCCGCAAATTTTTCTCACCTTTTAAACATTCCCTAGACCTCCACGAACATTTCAAAACGTCTTGGTCTTGGGATCTTAAAGATAAGATAAATCCGGTCAGCCGTTCTCGAGTTTTAGTGAGACTAACGAACAGAAATTATTTTAATATACGTAGATAAGAATAGTGAGACATTTTCCTTTCAGATCAATCGGGATTTATTGATCCATCTTGCTGGTTTAGTGAACGGCAAGAATTCACGTGTCGTGAGAAAACTTCACAGCATATCCCGTCTTTGCCTTGACAGTATTGATGGCATGTCTGACAGATGTCAACTGGCGTCAACTTACAATGATTGTTTAAATGAAAACATGACAGAGTTCGCGTTTCCATTAGACATCGCTGAAGAGGCCGTGAGGAAAATGCCATTCCATCTAATACAACCCAAGTAAAGATTTTTTGAATACTATATTAATTTGCAACGTGGAAAACCCGACTGCCAGAGGATGTGTTCGGAAACATATTGTTATCTCATTTTTGACAAAGAGAATGATAGAGTCGAGAATATGTTTCGGCAGTGGAAACCCTCGTTTATGTTTAATGTTAACTTAAGTATTCACTGATTACTGATATACTCAATTAGTCAATAATTACTTCAATGTTACGACAATTGTATGTAAACAATATTAAAGATAATGAAATCTTATGAATAAAACAACATAATCACGCTCCTAACCAAGAGGGATAGGCAGAGTCCATGGACCTCTATTTGGAGTGGTCGTAACAGTTGTCCAAACAAAACAAAATTTTTATTATTTTTCGTTGAAATTTCGTCATTTATGGTAAACTAATTTTATACTTTTCTTTCAGCTTACCACAGGAGTTACGTCAATCATCATTTTAATTATATTTGTTACTTTGAACACAAAACACGAATAAATTATATCATAAGTTTGTAATTTCTTTTTAATTTGTATAGTAAAAAAATCCGACCTATAAGTCCAGTAACAGGACCTTTTGTGTTTGATACCGAATTATTGTGAACTTTGTTAAAGTAACAATTTTCTAAAAGTTCACAATATTTCTAGACCAATTATAAAAATACGTTTTTCACCGACTATCGGTAACATTTAAATTTTTCGCAGTCGCTTTTTTTCATTGTTAAATACTTAACAGCACAGACAGGAAAACAAAAATTAAGCTTAAATTTAATAACTTATATTAGTAGCATAATTGAAATGTTTTAGAAGTAATAAAAACACTTTATAACAGCGAACTAATCAACGTGAGTGGTTTTCGATCCGATCTGATTGTCGGGGATAATTTTACTTTGGAAGTTATTCACAAGAACCAATTTATTTTTACGATATTCCATTATTAACTTACGTTACAAGTGGCTTCACATTTAATTAATTAATTTACTAATTTAATTAATTAAATTGATTAACTAATTTAATTAATTAAATTAATTAATTAAATTGATTGACTTATTTAATTATTATAATTAAATTAATCAACTAATTTAATTATAATAATTAAATTAATCAACTAATTTAATTATAAAAATTAAATTAATTAAACTTGCAGGTAAATTCAATTGCAAAAAAGGTTCGATTTGCTTTATATCCATCCACTTAATATTATTTTGACGGCAATGTAATGACATTTTATGACCAAATCACTTGAAGTCGTACAATTAAATTGTTAACATTTCGTTGAAAGTAATTGAAGAGAATTACAATTTGTCCTGCAGCAAAAGATACATTTCGTACAATCACTTCTAACAACAACAACAACAACTAAAAAAGCTAGAAATTATTTTCATAGATTTCTTTTAACCTTTGGTACAACTATTAATAATTTTATAGTGTTCCATAACAATAACGCAAAAGGTCAGCGAAGTCCCAACATGCAAAGGTGGGCGTTTCAATAACTTTTCTTTGAACTTTGCTTACAAAAAGAAAACTGCAAATAGTGGCCATTTAATAAAATTGATACAATTCTTGTATTTGTTAGGTTTCGTTTATTTATAAATCTTTTATAATATTACTATTACAATGTATTTAAAGTGTATGCATAAATATAATCACATTTCTCTGACTGACTGGCTGGAAATTTTCTGTTTTAATTAACCATACAAATATGTCTGTAATAAGTTTGTAATTACAGCCTTATAAAGGTAATATTGTTTTGATATGTCTGTTATAATTTCTCATTTATAATAAACTGCTGCTGTCGCCCGCGACTCCGTCTGCGTGGAATTAAAAAATAATTAGTAGCCTATGTGTTCTTCCAGACTATGTTCCATATCTATGCCAAATTAGAAAGATCCATGAAATCTGATAATGTTTTTCTAACAAATATCTAATCATCCATATTCGCATTTATTAGTAAGATTAGTAAGATATGAAAAAACTATAAATTAGAGAGCGTCGGTGGCTCAAGGGTCGAGCACATTACTTGCGATCTGCAGGTTCTGGGTTCGAATCCCGCCATGTACCACTGTGTTTTTCGATTTCCAATTTACATATGTCCATTTATCCGACGTTCTTACGGTGAATGAAAAGATCGTGATGCAACTTGCACATATCTGAGAAGAAATTCAAAGATATGTGTGAAGTCAACCAACCCACACTTGGCCAGCGTGGTTGACTATGGCCTAATCACCCTTAACTTAGGGTAGGCTCCGAGCCCCTCGGTGGGGACGCATAGTGAGCTGATGATGTTGATAATTATCATGCACACTATACGACATAATTTTCAATTAATCAATTTATATATTACTCAAGTACTTTGAAAAAGAGAACATTTTATTATAATAGCTAATCTGAACATTGCTGTTTGATTATTAATTTAATTTACTAAATGTTTAAATAAAGAGTCGTTGATGTTGTTACAGTAGTATTCCAGTAACTAACAGTCACCCCCATCGCACTGCTTTTAACTTGAAAAATCTATCTTAAATCTTTCAAAGAATCTCAGCAAGTTTATAAAAAGAATAAATGATAATTTCCCATCACTCTTACTTAGCGTACTCACAGCTAAGTTAATTCATCATACAGAAAGCTTTTTCTTGTAACACCAAATAAGTTTTTTAAAAAGATACGTTTTCTTTGCACTTATCTATGTGACCTTATGATACATATGTTACGTAAAAATAAGAGGAGGAAGATTGGACACTGAGGACTTTTGGAGTAGTGGACATTTAGAAATGGGAAATATTCTCGTTCTGTGCGTCCCCTCCTCCATCGATTAGCAGGCAACAAGTTCGTGTAACAATTTTCAATTATTTTCTCATCTAACAAATGAAATTGTTTGATATTTACTATGTTTGCAAATAACGACAACTTATAACTATGTTAGCAAACAAGAAAAGCAATAATAAAACTGGGAGATTTATTGGAGAATTGTACAAATAAAATTGTATGGAGCCGTACAAATACAGAATCGTTTTCATTCGTTTGTAATCATATTTGAACAGAGTGACGTGGGCGGCTCAATACCAATTGCCTTTCCAGTGTCCGCTCAATGCTTTCTTCGAATTCATTTTCTTCTAACCTTTTCTTTTATCAACACTTTATTTACTTTACTTGTTTTATTGTGAAACTCATGAATTCCTTAATAATTCCCGTAAAATACTCTTTCCAACAAATCTATTCTTATCTTACTAATATCTTACTTTTATTCTTGCTAATATAATAAATGCGAAAGTTTAGATGGATAGCTATCAATCTATACATATTAATAAAATTGTATTGTCTCTACATAATTTCGAAAAAAAAAAGTTTTTCAAAAAAATTCTGTCTTGTCTGTCTGTCTGTCTGTCTGTCTGTCGGTTGGTCCACGTTGGTCTAGGATATCTTCGAAACGGAGATTGTAACGCGATTGTGACATGAAGATAGCTGATGAACGCGGAAATATCATAGTCTTTTTTTAATTCTTCACCTTTTCTAGCCAAGTTAAACAGCATAGGGCTGTGATATATAGAATCTTACGTTATTTAATTAATTTATATATGTGTTTGAAATGAAATATAAGCCCTTGAGTTATTTATTAAATACGAAAAGACAGCGTAAATATTTATACGGCATCAAAAGTCCTTTTATTATATTAATTGATAAAACGAAGCTGTTCGCTTGAAAACATCAAACGAATAAATACAAAATAATGATATTTATTTTGTAGCACCGGATGGCATCACGGTCGTTGCACAAAAATAATGATCCACACGTGCCGTACTCGCCTACATACTATACTGTCACGCAACTTCGTCCGCGAATAATATCATTAAACATTTAAATATACTAGTTATAAAATAGAAGAAAATTTCCTTTGAATATTTGAAGCAGAATCCCACGTTACCGTCAGTACCTCTATCTGTCAAGTTTTAAACTATGCAACTCTACATGTCTAGTTATTTGAATCACCACCATCTTGCCCAGTCTATTATCCAGAGGTTAAATCTTAAAAAATAGTCTTTGAATATAATAAAAACTTAATTAACTTGTATGCTATTGCAGACCTGTTTCTTTAGCTGTTATATACATAGAATGCCACCATGCATAAGTTAAAATATCAGTCAAAATTATATCTTAAACTAGCTGTCGCCTGCGACTCCGTCCGCGTGTTTGACTAAAAAATAAAAATTTTGGGGTGGAATACCCTTAATATTTAAGGGGATGAAAAATAGATGTTGGCCGATTCTCAGACCTACTCGATATGCTCACAAAATTTCATGAGAATCGGTCAAGCCGTTTCGGAGGAGTATGGAAACGAAAATTGTGACACGAGAATTTTATATATAAGACTAGCTGTCCCCCGCGACTCCCTCAGCGCGCGACTAAAAATAGATGTTGGCCGATTCTCAGACCTACTCAATATGCTCACAAAATTTCATGAGAATCGGTCATCCGTTTCGGAGGAGTATGGGAACGAAAATTGTCACACGAGAATTTCGAGAGAGAGTGACGAAGAATATATAAGATACGAATTTCAAAGTATGTCGGTTCAAAAAAACATTAAATTAAAACGAAAAATAGTTTATTCGATAGAAGTAATACAAACGATTTGATTTAAATTTATAATTATAAATCATTTATCAAAATATTCCAATTGAAAACATTTTCATATTTTAATTTATATTATTCTCTGAGTTCCAAGAAATCCTTTTCTAATTGGAGTAAAATAGCTTGTATTTATACAATTAGTATTAGAACTTTCTTTTATAGAAGATATTGATTACTTATGTATTGTTCTTTAGAAGAATGAATCATATTGTTTATAATACCTTGGAATTAATTAGTTAATTCAACATTTGTACGGATAAATATGTAAATTAACTTCCATTAAACTGCTTTTTACTCTTAGTATTTTGTACCTAAATAAGATTAAATAAAAGAGATTTACTTCTTTTTTTTTATTGAATATTAGTTGTCGCCCGACACTCCGTCCGTGCGTAATTATGAAAACATAATTAGTAGCCAATGTGTTCTTCTAGACTATGTTCTATATGTATGCAAAATTTCATCGAGATCCATCCATTCTGGAGATACCTTCAAACCATCCATCCATTCATAATTTGCATTTATATTAGTAAGATTAAAGAAAATTACGCCTTAATTATTATAAATTAAAGGAAAAGTAGCCAAGCAATTCTCACATGATTTGGTATTTCAAATAATAATACTTTAAAACAAAACTAACTTAAAGTTATAGAACATATTTTCTTATTGTAATTTTAACTTTTTCGTTCATAAATAATGTAAAATAATTAATGAAAATTTATTTTAAGTACTTAAATAATTATAATCATAATAACTTCCCAACAACAATGAAACCAAATATCTAAATTATTCTATTGTGTTCTAAAGTAGAGCTAGACGTAGATTATTATGTCTCCTTCTAGAACAATAGGTTTTGCGTCTTTGCATTTAGCAAAATGGGTTCTTGTATATATATTCAATGTTTTGTTACTAATTCCTTAAGAACCAGGACTTAGAAACATAAATTATTATTACAATAATTTACATATCAAATCCAAAAGAAAAGATAAACACGAGTATAGCATTATGAACGCAAGGAATTTAAGTCAAAGAAAATAAGAACGCAATAAAAATTCCTAAAGCCGTGCGCCGTATTGAAAATTCCGTCGACAACCAACTGTCATTACTCCTACTACGCAAGCTGAAAGGCAATAAAAAATGGAGACTCGAATAAGTAAAACGACTATCCAATTTTGGCGATTCCAAGGAAATCTAGAAGTGTTTTTACAATCTTTCCTTGGTGCCTTAGTGTGGATTTCTCATACGAAATGTACACAGAGTGTGTCTCTGGGTACAGCGGTAAATAACAAATTTAAAAAAAAACTGTTATTTAGGAAAAAAATAACAACAGAATGACTGTTTTCAAAACTCAAATGTACCAGCAAAATCTTATATCATCATCATCAGCTCACTATACGTCCCCACCGAAGTTAAGGGTGATCAGACCATAGTAAATGAGATGGCAGTTAGTTAGATAGTTATGTTAAATATTCAAATCCTAATTTTATCAGTAAAACAACAAAACTGGCAAACTTTACAACAAATAGTCGCTCAGGTTTCGTTATTTGCATTATGGGACTATATTAGCATAAAGGGCGTACTATCTCGACTGTTTAAAATTTTATTAGTTTTATAACAAACTTATTATTATTTTGCGTTAAACAAACTCAAAGGAAAATCAATTTTGTATATTTTTAAAACATCAACTAAAAATAAAAAAAACACTATCGTGTTGTTTTAAAAAAATTAAAAAAATCTACACTTTTTTACCTTACATTGGAACATGCAAATGCATATTTTATTCGCAAATATAAACATAAACATTATATAATACAATTCAAATTTCGTGCGATATGCTAAACATTGCCCTATGTCCTTGTAGTATACTTAAGCTTCTTACCTTCCTTTGAGTATACTCTACACCAAAGCTCGTTAGATTACCAAACATGTTTAGAATAAAAAACATATCTGTGCAAAATTCTATTAACTACTAGCTGTCGCCCGCGACTCCGTCCACGCGGAATTAAAAAAATAAATAGCCTTTGTGTTCTTCCAGACTATGACCTACATACATCCATGCCAAATTTCAGCGAGATCCATGCAGGCGTTCTGAAGATACCTTCAAAAAAACACCCATCCATCTAAGCATTCGCATTTATAATATTAGTAAGATAATTTTAAAATCTAAGTATTAATCGTGATACTGTAACCGCTTAAGTAATATTAAATTTATAATTGGTCCTTCGTGAGCCGGAATATCTGCTTTTGAGACGGAATCGTTAACGATATTTCATTCAGAGACGTGTGATAAATTAAAGTTCGTTGGAAATGAAGCCTATTGTCTTACAAGATGTCTATTTAAGCCAATCTATCTGGTTGCACAATAGGGGTGAAACTTCAACCTCTTGCCACGTGAAACAAGATGAAGTCTTAAACTTATTCTATTATAGTACTATCATAATATACCTAAAAGAAAAATTTCTTACAAAAACCACAATAAAGTTTTACATTACAGATTTCTTAGAAAAAAATATAATTCTTTAATTTGATTTATTTGTCGGCATAGAAATGATGTGTTGGCCCGATGCCATACGATAATAAACTATTTCGTTATAGGTATAGTCGTATTTTTTTACATTGTGTTAGATACGACGCTAACAATACGAAGGCCAACTCTATCTTATATATTAACAAATATAGTCTCAATTAACGTACGTTCTAAAATTACTTTCACCCATAGATACGTTTTTAAACGAGTAGTAAGTCGAGGGTGATTAATGTATACAAAAAATATATATAAATGATTACTACCATAGCATTAAAAAAATCATGAATTTCATTGAGATTCTTACGATCGACCTTTTTTGTTTTTCGTTTTTTTTTCAAATTATTGTTCTTGTATAATTTGTACAATTTGTATAAGTTCATTTTGTATAAGTTCCTTTTTGTATAAGTTCATTTTGTATAAGTTCATTTTGTATAAGTTCATTTTGTATAAGTTCATTTTGTATAAGTTCATTTTGTATAAGTTCATGTTGTATAAGTTCATTTTGTATAAGTTCATTTTGTATAAGTTCATTTTGTATAAGTACATTTTGTATAAGTACATTTTGAATATGTACAATTTGTATATTTGTAAGTACATTTACATCTGGTAAATAACTGTGATTTAAGTGATAACTAACAATAGGCTAGGAACAAAAGCGTAATTATCGTTTAGATTGCCTCAAGCTACCTTTAAATTAACTGCACTAGTTTATTTCCGCTTGCACAAAACTGTATTCACCTAATTCTATTCCTAGAAAATGACGTCATTTTAAATTTATAAAAAGAATACAAATCAAACACTTGTATACAAACAATATTGCTATATTTGTTTCTTTAGAAGGGTATGAAAGAGATGACCATATGTTTCTGTACATGGACATTAAAAAATCATGGTTAACGCATTACCGGGTAAACCCTTTCTCAGCATTTGGCTTACATGCTAAGTAACTTAGGATATTTCTAATTAAAAATTTGAGCTGAAGCAATTATTAATTACTAATGTCAAATTCATAACAAAATAAATTATTTTCGCGTTTCTAAAATTTTTGAAACGCGTCTCATTTTACACTGGTCGTCCCCACATTCAGTGCAATCGCTGTTATGGAACAGCCTGTATGTCTCCAGCAAACTGGACACCGGATTGCTGCTGAAGCGACGTATGTTCGCCAGAGCACACGCAAGTAAACACATCGCACCTTCTACATAGAAACCGTATAACATTCTTATGTGGGAATTAACCTGAAAAACGAAAATATTACAATACTTGTAAGTAATATAATAATGTACTTTAATTTAAATTATTCTATTTAGTCTATAATTTTTTTTAAAGTAGTTGTAGGAGAAACTTTGTGTTATCTAGACGAGATGGTTCCCTGAGAGAGCGTTTTTAGAAAAAAATTACGATTTTTTTTTAATTAAAAATATATTTATAAATAGTAGAATTTCTACGACAAAATAAATAAAATAGATAAAATGATACTAACTCATAATAATAATTAAAAGTAAAAAAAATAACTAAAATACTACAAAAATACACAAGAGAAAAGAGAAAAAAAAACATTACTTCAAATATGTTTCCTTGTAATGCTTACATTTTCCAAGCCCCCTGTAGTTGTGAACTCTAATGGAAACATGACAGTTTCTAATGGCGTCCTGTCTCTTAGCACGCCGAACACAACAACTCCAAACGTATAATACAAAGCCAAAGACATCGAAATGCAATGTTCCAAACAGAAGAGCAGTATAATACACTGTAAGGATGAATATATTTCAATCATTAATTATTTAAAAAGTACATAAAACATATCTGTGAAAAAATTAAAAATTGAAGTCAACAAATCCGTACATGACCGAAATTCTGTCCGAGCCTTAATCAGCCATTAGGACCCGGACACATTTTGTGGGGACGTATGTGAATAAAAAAAAAATTGCAGCATTTAAGGACCGACTCTATAATACCAGTCTTCCTTAAACAACAGCAAGGTAAATTGAACAGTCCTATTGATATTTAGGCAAGCATTAATATAAATGGTATTCAATCCGACTAATAGTGGGTTTCTTAGACTAAAATCTTTATAATCAATTTTAAAAGTAGTAATCTAAATAACTAGCTATTTCGGGCGTTAAATATGCTCGCTTGAGCTTTGCTTTTGTAAACCACGAAATTGGTATCGCCCCAACTAGAATATTAAAATCTTGTAGCTTTGCAGCTTTGCTTTTGGTACTGTACTTAAGCTTTACCTACACAAACACGTAGCAATTATTAACAAAGTTTCAAGCGAAGTAGTAACGACTTAGTCTTACTAATATTATAAATGCAAATGTTTAGATGGATGGATGTTTGTTTGAAGATATCTCTAGAACAGCTGAATGGATCTCGATGAAATTTGGCATACATATAGAACATAGTTGGGAAAAATACATAGGCTACTACTAATTAAGTTCTTTTTTAATTCGTAGCGGACGGAGTCGCGGGCAACAGCTATAATTTATAAATATACAGAATTACATACTTACAAATTTACGGCAGATTGGTTTTTCCAATGTATTTGAGTTATTAGACGTACTAGTACTTTCTGAAATAGATATTCTGTTTATTTATTAAAAAAGGAAATACATTAATCATATTTAATATAAGTAACCGTGGGTTTCTAAGACCAAAATCGCTGTTTGTCTATATATCTCTGATTTGTAAAAGAATACGACGGTTTAGACGGATTAAAGTTTTATACAGAGATTTTGGTCCCAGAAAGCAACGACTAATGTGATATAAAGTCAGGACTAGAGTTTTAGAGATACCTTTTTTAGTTTCGACTGTTGATTCATCTAAGCTACTCTTTAAAATGCAATATTTCTTCTTAAAATTTAAACTGCATTGTTCCAAAGAGACCACAATAAAAGAACTTGCATTCCACACTGAAATAATTTAACTTTTTAATTTACTTAGTATGAAAACATAATTAATAGTATATTACTATTAACTTACTTAAGTAAATGTGCGTGGGAACCGCAATAATCGCATAAATTAAAGCTGACATTCTTCCCCAAGTTGTATGAGGTACAGGAGCCCCGAATCCTATAGATTAATTTATTAAAAAAAAAACAAATTAGTATAAAAGTGGTTAAAACTTTGCAAACAAATTTCTGGCTAATACATTTTTTTATATCATAGCGAAGTGACCGTTGCCCAAAGACATACGCAATTGCATATGCGTTGCCTACCTTTAATCGAAGGAGGAGAGGATGCACAGAAAAAAAACATTTCCATGCATTCTCTCATCCGGAAAGTCTTCTTCCACTTCCCATCCTTTCCTTATAAGAAAAAAGGTGGGAAGAAAAAGAGCACACTCTTCAGACGAAACGGGGAATTGCTTCCACTTCATGCCAGTCTTCTGTGTGGTCGTGGTATTTCACCGGGCGAACCGGGCCAATTCGTGCTAAGATGTTAAAGCGGGCTCTACCACTGTTAATATTAATTTACTTTCTGAAGTCCTATAAAACCTACTAACAGCTACTTGGCAAATGTATACCAGTTATTATGCAAAAATATATAAAATAATTACTATAATTCACCTAAAGCTGTCATTACGTAGATTGAGAATAAAAATGTGCCGGGTAAATCCCAAAATAATCCCGGTTGCAATTTAGCTCCATTTCCTACTGCGAGCATCGTCAGCTGCCTGGCATCGTTGATTCTTTGTTCAATTGCTTCACGCCATTTTGATGACAGAGGTGTTATCTGTAACATTTATATTAAGTACTTAGCTGTCGCCCGCGACTCCGTCCGCGTGAGATTATAAAAAGGTACCTAAAGGGTTTCCTGGAAATTATTCGAATTTTTCTCACCTTTTAAACCTCCCCTAGATCTCCACGAATATTTGAAGACTAAGATTAGATAAATCCGTTCAGCCGTTCTCGAGTTTTGGCGAGACTAACGAATAGCAATTGATTTTTATAAATATAGATAGATTTACAATACTATAAAACATCATGACACAAAAAATTTCAAAAACGAATCAAAATGCAAATGTGCATAGACAACTTACGATGACCTTGACTATTTATTCGTTGACGGTAACTAACTTGCACGTTGACGTTTACTTACTAATACTTCGACATTGACTATATATACGTTGACGTTGACTAAGTTATACATTGACTAGTTATACATCTACATCTTTGTCTATGTCTATAAATTATAGGTTACATCATGTCACGTTATTTCACGTGATGTCGTAGAAACGGCCGTGTAGTTGGAATTTTGGAAGGTTGTAATATTGAATAGTTGCAAAGGTGGATGTAGTGGGTCAATTAGCAGTTCCAATAATTAAGAAGTGAAAATAAAAGTTAATCAAATAGTAACAATATTAACTCGATAATTATTAATTAAAGTTAACTTTGAACAAACAAAATTTTTTTTAAGTTTCAATATTACTGACCAACATTTTTTCAAGAAATATCTTCAAGTAATCTAAAAGAATATTACACCGCAAGAAATATTTCTCGAGTCGACGGCGCGCGGAATCTCAAAGATATGGAATCCTCTGGTGAATATTCAAATTTCGTTTTCATGAGATGTGCAAATTGGTACGAGACATATTTTTCTTACGAGAACTCCCAACGCGGCTCACTCGAATGATTAAATTCAAGGCAATGCGTATTTACCAGTAACGTAATAATTGGTAGACAGGTTTAAAGGAATTCCTACTTTAAAAAGAACACTCTGTATAACAAAGAAAGAGTTGGAAAGTTCGCGCTAGTCGTTGGATGCAGGTAACAAGGATGTACTACAAGTGTTGTATTTTTGTAAAAGGAATTGGATTTCATAATATTAACAGATTTCAGAATAGATTTTTTATGCTCCCAACAGAAGACATCGTAGTTCAAATGTTGATATTTAATTTATACAATTTATTACAAAAAACTATTTTTATACTCACCTGTCTTAATTCCGTTGCCAAATCAATGACCAGCTGATTTTGTTCCTTTTCAAAATCTAACGATACTTTAACTTCTTGAGGACCTAAGAGACATAACAAAAAATTATCAGTAACAACTGTCTAATGGATCTTAAAATAAATAAATACGATTTTGTGCACAGCTTGCTTGCTTGTATTAGTAGCCTAGATGTACATTCAGACTATATTCAACATCTATGCCAAATTTTACTGTGATCCATGAAGGCGTTCTTGAGATACCTTCAAACAAACATCCATTCATCCATTGATCCATCCAAATATTCGCATTTATAATACTAGTAAAACAAAGATTTTGTGTACAACTAATTGTCGACTGCGACTCTGAGCGGAATTAAAAAGGACTGAATCAGTAGCCTATGTGTTCTTCTAGACTATGTTCTACATCTATGTCAAATTTCAACGAGATCCATGCAGCCGTTATTGCGATACCTTCTAACAAACATCCATCCATTCAATTACTACTACTAAGATAGTAAGATAAATGAAGATAAGAAAAAGAATAGAAATAGTTTCTTCTTAAGCTTTGTTATTAAAACGTGTTTATATTTTCTTACCTTCAAAGGAATGTATAATAAACACCCAGATAACATTCCATACAACGAGGACAGCGGTTAATCCAAGTTGACAAAATATACATCTGATTACTATTGAACAGAGACCTTCATCTATTTTCTTTGGGGCTGGGTAAACTCTTAGCCAAGCATCCGAAACCTTTATAAAATTTATATCACATTTTATATATAATTAAACGTAATAAATAAAAGTAAATAATTATTTACCTTATGTAAAACTATTTGCTTATCATCTTTCATTTGTTTTCTACCATCAATATTACGTTCACTTTCTATTTCAGACATTTTCCTATATGCACCCTTTTGATAGTCTTTTTTAAAATTGTCTTCATACGAAATATGTTTGCTATTATTTTTTTTATTTATATTATGGGATGTTAGACGTGTGTCATAATGTTCACATTCACCAGGCAGCACGTTTATTTTATTATAACTTAATTTATAATCATTTGTTAAATTTAAATCACTTTTTGTATTCACATTTCTATTGACATAAATAGCATCGCCACATAGATCTACTGAACTATCAAAATTTATAGCTAATATTTTAGCTTCATCTCTGTCATTTCTCGATTTCTTATAAAGCGGTTTGACAAATTTAACTTTATTTTTAAACATATTATATACGTCCTTTCGCATGCTTTACTGTGAAAAACTAAATTTTCCAAAAGTCTTTTGAGTGAGGTAGCGTGTTGATAGACTGAAATTATTAACTTCCGGTTGTAAGGTAACTTACGTGAAGTTACCTATCAAACTTAAAGATTGTAAAACTGAAATCGCGCCTTAACCTAATTTTTCAGGCAATTTAATGAAGCGCTTTATCTAATTGCTTTATCCGGTATTTGTTTGACTTCTAACTTTAATCGAATTTTTCTTTGTTTTAATATCCTCTAGCTATAATAAATTTCGTGTAATAGATTTGGGATTTACCCTATTACTTTTATAAAACACAAGCAGTTGCTCGCGGGTCCGTCCGCGCAGAATTAAACATAATTAGTTGACTTCACACATATCTCTGAATTTCTTCGCAGATATGTGCAGGTGGGTTAGTATATACCTACGAGGAAAAACTTTTGACCTAAAAAATATCTTTATTTTTTGGATAATATTACCGACGTTATTTTAATTTGATCCAAAAGTTAGTACAAATATATTTAAAAAAACTGCAATTTTTCAGTGTTATAATAAATATTTAAAACTTGGCTTACACTTTGGTTCACTTGTGAGTCTAAAAGTGTATTTTATAGGCTTCATTATTTATATTGTAAAGTTCTAGCAATTTACTATATTTAATCAATCTAATCCTCACAACTTAGCGATGAAGCGAAGAAGAAACTTTAAATTGAGTTCGTGTGGTCTGTCACTCTGTTACGTGATTTCCGTACAAAATATTCACTTTAAAATTTTAATCATTTTAACCTATAACTTGAATCCTTCATTTTACGTTGAAAAAATAAGAAATAAAGTAAAGTAAATACGTTTTGTACAACTGTAATATATCGCAATAAATTGTTTAAACAAAGTTTTCAATTTAAAAGTATATTTAGTAAAAACTAAAAAGATGGTTATTATTTTTATCATGTGATTATAATTTATGTGATAATTTGTATATAACCATGGTAATAAAATGCAATCTGAATCGCCAATATCATAAATCAGAGGGCTCGAGTTTTTCCCGTAGCGCGTAGGTATTGATTTTTTAGTGACTCTACCGGCCGCCAGGCGGCGCGCGCAACTCCTGTCAAATGTAAAATGTGTCGCTACCAAAGTAAATATTTAGGAATCTTCTTATTTCGTATAATACTAGACGATTTATAAAGTTATACATGTAGTTAATGAACAGATAAATATTAAAGTGAATTATTAACAGTGAAAAGTGGTGTAAAAATGACGTGAAATAAGTGTTCAAAACAGTGCTTCAAGTTAACCTTGATTCGAAGTAACACAGTGTAAACTAGGTTATTATTACACAATAATTTGACCAATGAAAACATAATATTAAACTATAAAATAAATATTTACTCACAATTCGTTAAGAGACTAATACGAATTGTTTTGTGAACATTTTAAGTAAGAGGTAAATAAATAAAATGAAAAATAGAAATGACGAGATGCTTGCGAATATGCGGGTCGTATTCGTATCGGTTGACACGAAGACATTCGACAATTTTACTTTTTATAATATTTATTTTAATTCTAACAACAATATTCCATTTATACGGCTACAAACACAAACAACAACGACGTGTTCCTTCCCAAGTAGGTGATTTTGAATACAGACCGGGATCTTTTTTAAAAAACAAACAACCGAACGAAAATTTTACTTACTGCCAGTTTCAATATGGACTACCAAAAGAATTAAAATGGAATAGTTTACGTATACATAATTCACCAGAAATCGGTGGAAAAGGTCCTTATAGAGTTATTTATAATGCTATTAAAGGTACTACTTTCGCTAATTTTACAAAATATAATATTGTAACATATTCAACGCATGCAACGCCTGAATTTCTCTACCATGTAGTAGAAATCGCTAGATATTGGGATGGACCTATTAGTCTATCTGTATTCGTGCCTAATTATGATTTAGATATTACAATGCAGATTATGACACAACTTTGTCGCTGTTATCCGGGTATGGCGAAAATATCACTGCATTTATTTTATCATAAAAATCATCCACCAAAAATACGATCGCAAAGAGAATATTTAGCTTCTTTAACAACGGAAATACCAACAACAACGTCGAATATAACTATAGAACAAATATTAAAAAATAAACTAGATAATTATAGGAAAATGAATAATAAAACACGATCACAATATATACAGTGGGTTAGAAAAAATAAGATAGCCAGAATGATGAAAAGAATGTCATTGAAAAAGAATTCCGCACCGAATTTGAAATTTGACGATTGTTCCGGACCAGATTATGACATACCAACATTTAGAAAAGAGAATCGTATAATTTATCCGATAAATGTTGGTAGAAATAGTGCAAGGAATGCATCTTTGTCTAACTATTTCTTAGTATCTGATATAGAGATGGTACCTAGCGACGGTTTAGCTCAAAAATTCCTCAAAATGATTAGAAAACTAATGGGAGATAAGAAGCGTGATGAAGGTTGCATATTCGCTAAAACTATTTTCGTCGTCCCTTTATTTGAGGTCGAAAAAGGAGAAATGATTCCAAGAGACAAAGAATCGTAAGTAATTTCTACCTAAAAATTCAATAAGTTTATTGGCGTGATCTTAAATCTGTTTCGTAAAAGAATGGTTTCATTAATTGATAGTTTAAAGTTACGCGTCCATTGGCCCTTGCCGGACGCACCGTAGGCATGTCCTGCAGCAGATTCTAGTTTGCTTTATACGCTTAATCCGTGTGTACGGTGCGTTGCGGTGCAGGCCATTGAACATGTACTTTATCGTTATTTGATCTTATTTATTACTTAAACAGGTTGGTTCGTTTGGTGGCTGCGAACAGAGCATTTTATTTCCATCAGAGAGTCTGCTCGCATTGCCAACGCTTCCCTGGTCTACAATCCTGGTTATTAAGAAGGTCTCCTAGTGGCGTAGAGGTCTGTGTTTTTACATACATAGAATATATATAGTTTAATATTATTACTATTAATCTCAGTGCAAGAAAAAGCAGAAAGATCGTGACAATTTTGTGGCATTTTGCATGGAAAAATAACTGATATTTTTTGTTAATTTAATCCTGACCAATAAGATTCTTGTGCACAATATATTGAAGTATAAATAAGTAAATCATTATGTATTAATATTATGTTTAACATTCTATTGTAAACAAATTCCTTTATATCTTAAACCCAGCTAGGGTTCTCACTCACGACATGTCGGAGAGTAAATAGCCTCACGATATTCCCTTGGTAATCGTAACCATACAGTAAGAATTCGGTCACGTACGTCACAGCCTGTATATATGTAGCTATAATTAATATTTTACTAACCCTGCTACTGATTAATTTTTAAGATGTTTCAGCGAACAACGTCTGTTTCTGATATGCCAAATTGTATCAGCAAACTGCATATCGTGAATTAACAAAGTTCAATTGAGATGCTGCGATTGTTAACCCTGTTACACACCTTCAAGTTTAAATGCTTCAATTTGAATTATACAGTTGTCAGGTTTTCCTTTTTGTATGATTTAATTGCACAGTCCGACTGTACAGTAAAAACTGTGCAGATATTTGAAGGTGTGTAGCGAGCTTTAACACAAACCAATGAGGTGTCACTATACGTCTATTTAAATCTTTTTTATTGTTTTTAATTTTCTATTTGCTTAGGAAAATTAAAAACAGCCAGTATTTATAAGGTGGTATATGTATAAGGAAATATATTTCCACAGCCAATGTTGATAGCTCGTCGCGAGTACCCTTACCATAGATGGGAACCTTTATACTTCGGCACGCAAAGAGAACCTTGGTACAGTGAAACGCTCTCATGGGAGGGAAGGCAAGACAAAATGACACAGGTAAGTTAACAACTGCGAAGATCAGGTACAGTACACAAAAAGCTAACTTCGCGTAGTAACGTATACGATTAGGAAGATATCGTAAATTTGTAATACACTGTACAGTCAGCTGCATTAATATGTATTCATTTTCAAAGTACAAGTACAAAAACTTATTTTTTAACGGGAATAAAAATAAAACAAGATATTTTCGTAAACGTGTTTTGGTAATGAAAAATACTATAATAATTAAGAGATTTATATTTTATTCAAGGGTTCTTTTATCTGATGCATAATTTGCTATTTTATTAATTTCTTCATTGTATATACATTTTTTTTTTATAAATTGAGGTAAATGTTTTTTTTTTCAAATAGATGCTGGAACTATGTCTGCAAGAGTACCGAATGGTGGTCTTAGATGGTGGCTTCCTCAGCCATGCTGCGGCCACGAGGACAATGGCACATCATAGCAATGCAGAGAGATTGAATAACCAAAAGTACTTGAATATCATCGGAAAACTTAAACAGAAGTATCCTGATAGGCCACAATGTAGAGTTATGTGGGGATGTTAATAAAAACTAACTTTCATTTTTAAGCCAACTACACACCTTAAACTGTGCATTTAAAAGTGAATGTATGTAACTGGCTTTAATAGTAGACACCACTTACTGTGAGTTTCTCAGTCCAAAATCTCCGTTTAAAATATATCGTTATGTGTGATGTCAAAGTCAATGATAGACATTACGATATGTTTTAAAATGAGATTTTGGACTCAGAAACCCAAGGTTAATTGGTCTCTTGTTTTTTAAATTTTTCTTATTTTTGTAATAGCGTAATGTATGCATTACAATTAATTTAATTGGTTTTCATTCATGAAACCCCTATACATAAACATATAGTGTTTCGGCAGTGGAAGCCGACGTTTATAAACACGTTTTAAATGTACTTTAATATCTTAAAACTGAAATATTCTGTCCTTAAAGATTTTATCAGATAAACGTTAACTTTTATAGTACATTTAGATTAGTTAATTTTCAAACTAAATATTGTTAGCACTAGCTAAAATCAATTTTACGTTATTTGTCACAGTTAAAAGATTAAATAAAAGACGT